TATCTTCCTGTTTTTGAAAGATAAACCTGAGGCTTTTTAGGTAAATGGATGCAACTAGAGACCATACTCGTAAGTGAAATAAATCAGACTCACATGTGTAAACATCATATTATCTCCCTAGTGTAAGAAAGAGTAAGTAAGATCAAAAAGGTATAATAGATATTGTATAAGGGGAAAGAAACTGCTCAAAAGGAAAGAACAACTGGGATGAGGGAAAGGAGAAAAGAAGGAAAATATATGCATCTTGTGCGTGTGTGTGTGTGTGTGTGTGTGTGTATAGTAGCTAAGATAATTGTACTACTACTTCTATTAGTTCACTGAAAGGAACAGTTAGTGCTTATATTGCTTGATCAATCTTACATGCCTACATCTGGTAATCTGAGCAACTACTTTGAAGAGAACAATATGCAATATAATAACCACTGTTAATTTCCTATCATCTTGTTTTGAAATTCTGTATCTTTTTATTGTTTTCTATTCTCTTTAAAATAAAAAAAAAAAAGGAACTCTTACAAACACCCACGGAAGACAGCAGGTAACAAAATATTTTTTTTATTGTTGTAAAATTAAAAATAGCACACAAGCATATATTGTTACAATTCCAAAGCAGAATACAAATATATAAATTATTGCAGTTTCCAAAGAAAATATAACTAAAAGTCTAAATAAATTGTATTGAAACAAACTTAGTTTTTATCACAGCAGTTTCATTTCCCCCTCAGATGTCTCAGCACAATTTTGTAAATAAATTTCTAACACTAAAAAGAGACTAAGACCAAAGCACATGCTACTTACATTGAAAGTGAAGTACACATACACTCACACATACACAAGTACTTCTTTTAGGGTAGGGTAAAACTCATTTCCTTAATTTTTGTTTCACCTTAGTAAGCTTAAAATTGTGAGATAATTTACAATCACTAAAATGCATTACTAATGTATACTCTTTTAAACCAAATGTAATAGTGAAGTTAATATATTCCCAACTAGGACCTCACGGATGGTAGGCAAGCAACCCCCCTCCCCAATTTCTAGTGCTAGAGACTGCTATAATGTTTTGCATCAAGGTAACGCTAGCCTACAGTTGCTTAATAGGTCAGACTATACCATAACAATGGCAAACGTGAAAGAATGAAGTAAAAGGAAAATACTGAAACATGAAACAGAGCTCTGATATCCCAGTCACAGCACGGTAGCTTCCTCCTTTGTTCAGAGCCTTATTACCTTATTCTGGTACATAAACTCCTCTACGCCATCACTACAAACACTCACTGGGCAAGAACAACCTGTTGAGGGTTTCATCTCTAATTTTCACCACAAACTTTCTCATATAATCAGTTCCACCAAGCTAAAGTTAAAAATGCAATCATATACTGAAATCAATTATCTTTGCTTCACAGTCACATCTGAAAAGATATTTTAAAAATTTTATGGAGTATTAACTCTCTTAATAAGTATTTAAAAATAATCAACTGTCTTACTTTAAGCAATAATATCTGTCAGTAAGTGAACTGGCAAAAGTCAGAAAACAATAATACTGTAAGACTTTAACACTGTACCATTTACAAGTTGTCATGGACCTATAACCTAGTTTTATGGTTACTAATTGGAACCTCTTAATAAGCTACACAAATAATTTAATCTTTAAAAATTCCTATTTAAATTTAGAGCATATACATTTTGTATGGCATTTTACAATGTTAATAATGAAAGATTTCCTCTAAAATGAAATGAAATAAAATAAAAAGTAAACATTAAACACAAATCAGTTTAAAAAACTAGCAAAAATTGTAAGTCTCAACAATGTAGACACCAAGGTAAACAATGTATACACTTAAAAAACAAGTACTGTCAGTGGCAAAGGATATGATTAAACATGAAAACAAAACTGAGGCAAGGACGGCGGTACAGAGCCGCAGTTCCAGCACTCTGCAACGCTGACGCGAGCGGACTGCCAAGTTCAAGCCACGTCTGGGCAACTTAGAGATTTAGTGATACTCTGCCTCAAAAATAAAATAAGATAAATTTTAAAAAATAAAAGGGCTGGGGATACAACTCTGTGTGAAAGTCCTGGATTGAATCTCCAGTACCAAAAGCAAATAAAAAAACAAGCTAAAGATATCTATTGAAATGACAAAAAACAAAACAAAACAAAACAAAACCAAAAAACCAAAAAAACAACCCCTGCCCTCTATGCAGAATATGCTTTCTGAAACCTCTTGCAAACATGAACTTGTTATTTTAGATATAAACCTTAAATGTATATAAAAAAGGGCACTTTTTGGTTAACTGAACATATGTGTATTTTGGAAAAATAAGGAGGTCTCTTTTCTCCAACATTTTGGAAAAGAAACCACATAATGGAATAAAAACATTTAGCTGCCTTAATCATCTTTATTGGTGCCTCAAGTGCATACCTTTTTGAAAGGATCAATTCAGATATTAATACTGGGATCAAAGGATAAGATGATAAAGTAAACATAAAGTTGGACAATTTAAAAACACTGTTTTTGTGGTGCTGAGTATCAAACCCAGGGCTTTGTATATGCTAGATTCATAAAAACTTTCTTTGATCTTTAAAGATATCATATGAGTAAAACTCACTTTTCATTCTGACTTTCAAAACTTAACTTACTGAATTATGAAGTCTGATGTAAAAAACATTGTCTTATTTCATTCGCCTTTACCCTATAAACTCTGAAAATGTTAGTAATGCCTGAGAAGCAATCTGTCTTTCACCATTTCTGCCACACAGATTTTTTTCCTATACGTCCTAAAAATGTACTAACAACTGTATAGAAGAACTGCTAACTGTGGGAAGCAATATTTAAGATCTCTCAAGTTAGAATTCATCTCTGTCCCTGATCTTTATTTTTGCATATATAATAATTGCATATTCAATCAAGAAAGCATAGAAATATCTAAGTTTACCAAATATTTGGATAAACTGTTGTGCAAAATACTTCAATAAAAATTTTTTTTTCTTCTAGAAATTCATCTGAGTAAATACTAATGTGAGTACCAGCACCACAAGATAGTTTTTAGGAGGACTTTCCCTTTGAAAACAAGCTTAAGTAAAAACACCTAAATGGAATAAATCACAGCCCACAATTAAGACCTTAGTACATGCACAATCCTACTCAATTATTCCAAACTCAGTAGTAAAGCTATGTGTTTGTCAGAAAAATCTTCAAGAGATAAGCAGACACTTTCTTTGGATAACACTGTTGTATTTAGGACTGAACCCTATGGCCCCTATTCTGGAAATATGCTAGCACTGATAACAAATGCAATGCATCCCGAACTTTTATGACTGTCCCCAGGTTATCTGAACAAGCCCAAATGTGTGCGACAACCCTCACCGGTAGTTCTTAACACATTATGCCAAGAAAGAGCGAAGTCAATTTGAAAATACAACCCTAACAACTAAGTACTAAAATACTTACTAGCATAATCAGGACATGTCTTTATCCAACCTGTAAATGTGGGTATTTTCATATTGCACACATTCAACTTAAAGCTAATCAAAACTAAGGCAAATGCATCTGCACTCTCAGAATCTGAAATTCATTTTGGATGACTCAAAGAACTGAGAATAAAAGCATATTTCAAAAACTTCCTCTAAAAAGCTTGACAGTTATGTCATATTTCAAAGAAAAACAAAACAAGACAACAGGATAGCAATTAATACCCTCAGGCCAACTTAATACATCTTAGCGTTACAAAAAGTTGCTTTGAACTGGACATTTCTTTGCCTACTGAAATACTGCATGTGTTCAAAACTAAAAATCTGACCCAAGCCAGGACAGGCTACCAAATTTAAGGCAGAAGTCACTTATCTCTTTTTGGGAAAAGCTGCCAAGTCTGAGCTTTTCTGTAGATTCTTTGAACAAAAGATCTACCTCATAAATACATTTTAAGCACCAGCTGAAAACAATTTAGAACCGATTTTTAATTTTGCATTGGTTATAGCTCTTAGTATAATACATTATTAAAAATATATAGCTGCCTAAGACTATTAATTAAAAAAATCTTCAGAAACGTAACAGGCCACTTATTCTTTTAAACATGGCCTTATTTTGTTGAATTAGGAGTTTTGTTTTTCTTATGTCAAGGAATTTTCTCATTCCCTATAAAGTTTAGAAAAATATAATGCTTTTGTTGAAGAAGAAAACAGAATTTGGACAGTTTAAGGATTTTTGAAACTTTATCCCAAAGTGGCACAAAGAATAATTTTAATTTTTTTCAAAAACAGAACATTTTCTTTTTTGGGGGGAGGGGCAACATTTTCAATTAGAAGGTAAGCTACATTTGACTTGAAAGTGAGGCTTGACTTACTCTGTCCAAATTCTAACACATGAAAGTAATAATAAATGTAATGGAAGAGGCTATCATTTTTACGGAGATAAACTGACATACAAAAATTAGTACTCTCACCTTAAACTCAGAAACACTTTTGTTAGAAAACAATAATGTATTCTATTTAGTTGAATACTTGCTTTAAAAAGTTAATTTCTCTTTCATAAACTTTTAGAGATTAAACAACTCAACTAGATAGATTTGTACTCCAAAATACATTTATCTTTGGAAAGCAAGATAAAAGTTATAAAAACACTCTATTAAGAGAATAAAATGCAGTGATCTGAAATATGGGTGGATATATTTACATATGAAAATGTAAATACTCAGAGTCATTCAAATACATTTATAAAGAGAATGAAAAGTACCTAAAATAGCATTTACATATAAAATTTTATATTAAAATACTGTTTATATTAAATATAAGGTGATACTATGAATTCCACTTCCCTCTTAAAAACTATCTTTACTAGTTCAGACTAATAGGAGTTTGTTAAACTATTGTTTTGACAGGTGAATTACATGAAAATATTCATAAAATCACACTGTAAGTAGTCATGTGTGGTAAGTTAGGGAAGGGACATTTAGTAATTATGGTGAAAAGATTCCCAACATGAAGTCAAACGATTAACACTATACAATCGGAGTATAATGATCTGCTTTATTAGACAAAGATGTTGAATACTGCCTTATGCTCTGCAAGCTTTATGACCCTAAAATACTGGACCATACCTTGCCTCACACTCTGGCGTGTGCACGCTTAGCAGACCAGGGAAGGGCACAGAGCATGCGAAGTGCGTGTAAATTTAGTTCAGCTGCTCATCCCTGCTCGTCCTACTTGCAGGCATGGTAACTTGGAACAGTTCCTGAGAAGCTGTTCAATGGCAATATGACGGACATGGAGCTGCGATTTCAAAGAATCTTTTTCTTGCACTTGATGTGTTAACTCTTCAAAAACTTCTGTAAAATTTAAAAAGCATTTCATTTTTAGTACAAGAAAGCTAATCCTTGATTTACATTTTAAGTAAATATGAGTACTCTTAACTGAATGCACTGGGTGAATTTTAGGAACTGATCAGATACCAAGCAAACAGCTGATTTCTCCTCAAGGCCTGTGTGGTATTCCTTCAACGCCTCTGTATTTCACAGAGCTCTACAGGACTACAGTATCGTTCTTCTCCATCAGGTGAAAGCAACGATTACGGACATACAAAGCAGAAACCCTCCTTTCTGCTAAAATGGAGCCACTTTCAAATAGAATTTAAGTAGGTTTATTCAGTATGTAATATGACTTATGGACAAGAAATACCTATTAGCATCCAGGTCTGGATACTCTTCTGAGAGGCTGAGGAATCTAATCACCTGGATTTTCAGATCCTTGCTCCTACTATGACAGTCTTCAGGCATGACTTTCAGTTTTGGTTTCTTTTTGTATGTAAGACTGAAGTTAGTAAACACTTTACTTACAGAGTTACTCAGGGATTAAATGACAGCATATTTGTGAGGTGCACACATAAATACTAGATAAGCATGAGCTGCTATTGCTATTACTATTATTATTTCCATTATTCTCAAAGACTGTGGTTAAGAAAGATTACTAGCTTTACAGTTAATCAGGGGTTAGAATCCCTGGCTGTTACTGACTGAATGAACCATCTTTACAAGTAAAGTTTCTGAAGTGCAATTTCCTCACCTAAGTGGGAATAAACTGTAAAGAAAAGGAAAGGAAACAATTAGTGAATCTGGACAATAACTGTTAACACAGTAGCGTCATATTTGATGTTAAGGAATTAATAGTAGCTTTTTAAAAGGGTGTGATATTAAGATTGTAATTGCAATTTAAAAGATACCTTTCAGAGACAATTGAGATATATTTATGGACCAAACAGTCAGTTACCTGGGATCTGTTTCAAAATAATTCATACTGGGGTCAGGGATGGGATGAAGGGAGTGGCTCCAGGTAAAGAGAGAGAAAAAATTAGCTATGCTTTTGGGTAACAGCTGAAGCTGGGGAAAGTGGATCAAAGGGTTCATATACTAGTCCCACTGCTTTTCTATGTTCATTATTAAAAATAAAAAGGGACAGAATAAGCCAGGACTAATACTACCCTCCTTAAAGAACTGCCAGGGAGCTCGTCTCCACAGAGCCCTGCACAGGTGTGCACAGTAAAATCTAAGAAGTAGAGAGCAACTCTAGTCTCCACTTTCACTTAAGGAAGAAAGACATTTTTCTACTGCAATTCATGAAGGGACTGTTCTCTTCTTCCTTTTGCTCTGGGAACTAAGAGGTTCAAATATACAATTTTCAAGTTTAAACTCTGCTGAAGCTAATGATGTCCTGTCGTAGGAGATTTTCTGTATCAAAATTTGCACGTTAAAAAACGCTCAAGACTAATTCATTACCCTGGATTTGCTGTCGAAGCTTCATATTCAGTTGTTTTACCTCATCAAGCGTCATTGAATTCACTGCAACATGAAAATATATTCATTGTTACCACAATAATCTGGGAAAATAAGCTGCCTGCTGTAATAGCCTATTAAAACAAGCTGCAGTTATCTGCCAGTACAACATTAAGTAGTACTTCAGTATTCATTCATGAACTCTCAGTGTGAAGTTTTCAAATCTTGACATACCCCGCCTCCCCCAGTAAGAACATATTTTACATCACTATCACTTATACCAACTTCAACCTGAAGCAAAACTTTCATCAAAAAATAGCAGTATGTTTGTTGGTTTCTGATTATTTCCCATCCTATTTCAGGATTTAAAAACTGCTAAGCACTAGCCATCAAGCTGATTTGACCAAGCACTACACATTTTATGACCTGCACTCTGAAAACACTACCTAACGTACTATGGAAATTGTGTAAAAGTCATTTGTTCATCCAGTGATGCAACCTTAGATAACTCATATGTACAATCAAGTTGTATGAAAGATAGTCAAAAATCCCTTCTGGGCCTAAAATAATTTCATTTAAAGTCAATTACAAGACAGGCGTGGTGGCACACACCTGTAAACCCAGCACTCGGGAGGCTGAGGCAGGACTGCTGTGAGTTTGAGGCCAGCTTGGGCTACAAAGTGAGTTCAAGGCCAACCTGAACTGCATGTGAAACCCTGTCTCAAAAATTCAAAAAAAAAAAAAAAAAAAAGTCAATTATAATTATCTGACTCTCTGTAAATTTTTACAGAGGTAGAAATAGACAAAATGAGCCACTTTTTAAAATTTTAAATAAATGTACACAATACCTTTTAGCCCTTAATAAAATGTCTGATTTTTGCTTTTAAATGGCACCCCCAGTCAATCAGTCCTGTAGGGATTATCAACGTAATAATGAATATCACAGTCAGTAGCTGAAGCTGAACTAAACTATCTGAACTCTGAACTGCTTATTCAATAGTGATTCCATTCACTTTCAATCACTTAAAATAGCAAAACAAGTGATAGGAGTGCTCAACTTCAATGTGTGGGACATACTGAAGAGTATTCCAGACAATGCCTAGTTTTAAGACCTCTCGTTTTTGTGAAGGTGAATCTATCATTTAAATAATGTATTTAACAAATCTGATTCTACATCAAAATTCTTGACATACTTACACATATAAAAAAATATAAAAATCATCTCATTATCCAAAAAAACCAAGATAAAAACCACACATATTTTACCTTTCTTCCCGTTTTACTTACATTCCTCTCTGCTATAATGCAGAGTCTGAGTCTGGACATCGGCTTCTGGGCAGAAGGCGGCCTCTTCTTTCTGTGCCTGGCTGTGACTGTGAGGCCACAAAACACTGTCATGGCATAGCGTAGAACCTGGACCTTGTAACATAGCAAGCCCAAAGTCTGCATTTTCTCTCTGCTCCAAAACTCCTTGTGTACAGTTTGAGATGCCACCAGTACTTCCATCTATCCATCTTGCAGAGTACTTTGGTACTTGAGAGTCAAACTGTGGGAGTAATTTCTTATCTGGCTTATGCTTGAAATTAAACAGGTGATTCTGGGGGCTTTTAGAACACTCGGAATCTGAGTCCAGATCTTTATTTTGTGCATACTGTACAATCCAGTTTATCTTCTTACTCAAAATAGTTTTAACTCCTTCATAAGTACTTTTGGAAAGCTTGGATCGAGGACAATCTTGATTTGCAATTAAATGGTATTTTTCAAAACAGTCTTTATGGCCCCTTAATGACTTGGTGTGCAATAGATTAGATTTTGGTACTCCTATGGGAGAAAAGTAAGAAAAGACTTAAAATTTTACATTATTTTCTAAGTTGCTTTAAGAATATATAAATCTTGATAAAACAACTTTTGATAGTCCTTGATAGAGGCAAAATACTAAAGAACAATGACATTAATAATCTTAAAAGGTGGCCTAATAATTTGTGCTTCAATTTAACTATATGCATAGTAATATTCTTACATTTAGCAAAGAATTTCTGAGAACAGTGATTCAATCATAATCTTAGTCTAGACATACCATTGCATTCAATAGGAAAAAATCCTACTGAGACCAAGCACAGTGACACATGATACCCATAATCCCAGCAACCTGGAGGCTGAGGCAGAAGGACTGTGAGTTTCAAGGTTAGACTAGACACCTTAGCAAGACTCTGTCTCAAAAAAATTTTAAAATCCAAAAAGGGTTGGAAATATAGGTCTGTGCAAGACAGTGGGTTTACCCTTGCGAGGAAAGGCTCAGCTGGAGACTGACCACATATTTGGGGCTAGAGTAAAGCCAGCCCCGAGAACATGAAGCGCCAGAAATGAGCTATATAAAGTCTTTGGGACTAGAGCAAGGCCAGTCCAGCAGGTGTCCAACCTTGGTGTTTCACCCTGTTAACTGCAGCACAGACAGCTCTGAGAATGTTTCACTTTCAGTGTTCTCAGCACAACACTGAGAATTGGTATTGTCAGCTCTGTCACACACTTCCCCCCTTTTTATTGTGTATAATTAAAGACATAGACCGTGCTGGGTTGCCTCTTCATCAGAGGTCAGGTTCCACCTTGTCCCAGCTTTCCTTTTATTATGTGTCTAATTTTTTCTTCATCTCCTGTCACCCGCTCTCAGGACCCCACTGGCTGCATGGGTTGCAGCAACCCCGAAAATACTGAATCCAGCAAGTTACCCTTACAGATTCTTGGCCTTTAAATGAGTGTTTATGGTACAAATCATCTTGAAATAAACACTTAGAAAATTTCTTCTATAAGGCTCAATAACAGAAATGCTCACTTTTTCTTCCTGAAGACGACACAGGTAAATCATGTCTAAATTACTCGTTTTATTTTTATTGAGGAGAGATAAACCAGAACTAGAAAATACATATTAAGACTTGAAAAGTTAATGAACTGCTTTCTCTTTAAAGAAATGTCTAACATTTTTCAAATTTCCATTTTTATATTACTAAAACCTTATCAAGATAATTTTATCTTCTAAGAGAGATTAATTATAATTATTACACAGCAGTAAATTCAATCTGTCAAGATAGTTTGACAGGCAGTTTAATTATTCTACTCACAAATATTCACCATATACCATAAATAATGGAAATATTTATATTGTACTTTTATAGCTTGCAATTTCTTAGCAGACCTTAAGTATAGTAAGTCATTTTTAAAAATGCACATTTTCAAATATTGTATTTCAAAATATAGAATACAATCATACATTTTATGAATTCGAGATATATTATTACCGCTAAGCAGCACTGCCTTTATACTGAATATATATCAGGGTTGTGGAGCTGAAAATGAAAGCCTGCCAGAACTGACAATCTCATCAGCTTGGCTTTGAAACTGGAGCTAGGGCTGGGGATTTAGCTCAGCGGCAAAGCGCCTGCCTGGCAAGCGCAAGGACATGAGTTCGGTTCCCGGTACCGGAGAAAAACAAAAAACAAAAAATAAAAAACGAAACTGGAGCTAAGTGTAGAGCCACTTAGGTGCTAGGTTTAAAATTTTTGACTTGACTCATCAGAAGAAATTATGTTCTGTATACATCCTTCAAAAACTGAAAAGTTACCTTTAAATGAGAGCACACTTCTTAAATACTAATATGTATGAGACCAACTGTTCTCATGTGGTATACTCAAATATTTGAGTGTCCTCTCCTTTAGTCTGTATGAAAGAAAATTCCTTAGCATACTAAAAAAGTTCTAGACTACAGAAAGCAACTTTTACTATTAAGCCTCAGTAAAAACTTCTTTCTATAATCAGACTGAGAACTTCTTTTTCTATTTTTCAAATGGGAAGAGGCGTAAGAGATGGATGAAGGAGTGAAAGAAGGGGAAATGGATCTTTAAAAGATAAGCAAAGAAAAAATGGAAATCCAGCTTTTTCAAATGGAAAGGGGATCGAGAGCTGGAGGGATGAGGGAGGGATGGAGAGGAAGGAGGCAGAGAGGAATTAATACATGTTAAGCACATGTACAAACTCCCCATATAAATGTAACCATTACCTACTGCAAACATGTACTAATAAAAGTACATAAATAAACATTTGTGGAGTTTTGGGTTTTTATACTCTGCAGCAGCTCTGCGCTTTGCTTTAATGACAGGTCAATAGAATAAAGGGATCCTTCAAAGTGAAAGATTTTCTTTTTTATTATCCAATGTTCCTTCTTCATGATTCATTTAACTTTTCTTTCTCCATAAATGATTTTGTTTAACCAGTAAAACCCGTAACTTAAGAATCAAGATAATCACAAGATAATATATAACTAAGTAATCTGTGAAAGGAACAGCAAATCACAGAACTACAATAGTCCACTTATCGTGAAAATATATGAACTGCAAAATAAATTTCAAGCCGGGCGTGGTGGCGCACACCTGTGATCCCAGCACTCGGGAGGCTGGGGCAGGAGGATTGTTTCGAGTTCGAGGCCAGCCTGGGCTACAAAGTGAGCTCAGGCCGGCCTGAAATGCATAGTGAGACCCTGTCTCAGAAAGACAAAAATAAATAAATAAATTTATTTCAAATTATCGCAGACACTGAGAAAAATGTTCTCTTTATAAAAACATAGAAAGTGTCAAGCACAAGAAAGGCTCTGGATGCACATTCTGTATGGCTTTCTATTGCACATTCCCATCTCGCTGTCCCAACAGGCTCCTCAAACACGCTGTCTAAATGACACTCCTTGCTTCACCTCTCAAACCCGAGCCCTAATGAATCTGACACCACCAAATGCCTAAGGACAAAACCTGGGTGTCTTTTTTTTTGTTGTTTGGAGATAAGGTCTAGATCTTGCTATGTAGTTGTCTTGGTTACTTTTCTCTCGTTGCTGAGACAAAATACCCAACACCCAAAATGAAGGAAGGAAAGGTTTATTTAGCTTACAGTCCATACTAGGCTGGCTCCATGGCAGAAGATAGCAAAACAACAAGAGCAAAGGGGGCAATGGCAGCCGAACAGCAAACAGCCAGAGCAAACCGGAGGAATGGCGGCAAGCAGCTTCTTTTCCCTCCCTTACATTGTAAACAGGCCACCCCCACCTAAGGGGCGTGTAGCTCTCACATAATCTCCATGCCCTCCTCTGCAACAGGCTCAGGATATATACAAAGTAAGTATCCTGCCTTCCTGCTGAGTTACTTAGCCAAACCTCTAGACTCCCCAAGTTGACACAATGTATCAACCATAACAGTAGTTAAGGCTGGGCTTGAAGTCACTATGTATTTCAGGGTAGCCTCAAACTGACAGCAATCCTCCTGCCTCAGCTTCCTGAGTGCTGGGATTACAGGCACAAGCCATGATGCCCAGCCTGAGTGTCCTTCTTAAAGAAACTTGAAAGTTCCTCTCTCCCCCAAACTCAGATGTTTTGCTGTGCATCTGTAGATTTTTTTTCTTCCACAAAATCGAGAAAGTATTTTTTAAATCCTTCTGCTTTGTTCCATAACCACTCCCACTGCAAATCTGATCATTATCATCTCCTAACTAGTTCTTACTTCTCTGAGAAGCTTTTTCTAACCAATACTGCTGGGTCATTTATCACACTCGACTTTATAATGGACTCCTTTTTTTTTTATAATGGACTCTTTATCAGCTTTTATTTCTTGCTAGGTTACTGTGAAAAAAGGGACCAATGCTACCTTACTCATATGCATTCTCAGTGTCATGGTGTCTGTCACATAGCAGGTACTCAAGTAGTCAAAGGGAGAGGGAAAAATTTAAAGTATATTTAAAATAAACCCAAACACACACTACCACCTATTTGTGGTCTACTGCAATGCACTTTTGCCCATCTGCCGAGAGACCCGCGTCATGCAGTGCTGCGAGGCTGCTTGGAGAATTAAGAGCATCTTTCAGTGCAGTCACTATCTTATTCAGCCTAATGGGTTCGTCTAAGGGAATGATGACTGGTAATAATACAGAAATAGCATTCCTGCGGCATGATTCACTCTGTCAATAAAATCATAAACTTCTGCTTCATTCTATATTTTTAAATAGAAAGGTACACATAATAAATACACAGAGGGCTATCTTAGGTAAACTGTAGCTCCATTTCAGAGGTGTACCTCTTCTTTTGCTATCAATTACACTAAATACTTAAAAAGACTTAATTTTAAATTCAATTTGAAAATATTTGTTTCATAACTTTAAAAATCCCATGCAGTAGCAAACAAAATTAAAAATTTGAAAAAGCCATCAACTACTTCATATAACTGAACAAATTACTTTTTAATCTAGAAAAGAATTTGAGTACCTCACTTAATTTATAACTGCAATATATGCGTCATTTTATAAACTCCAAATGATCCTCCTCCCCACTTTATCATTTCAAATTGATACGGGAAAAACAACCATTGCTATTATCAGAGATTATCAGTGAATTTCCCAAATGACTTTTCAATTTTAAATGCATTTACAAGTGTAAACAGCTCTGAGTACTAATTTGTTTCCTAAGCAGCTTTTGAGAGGGAATGAAGTTAAATGTAATTACATGATAAATCGACACTTTTGAGGAGCTGGGAGTTTTAAGAGATTTCAAGACCAGTTCAATGACTGTACTATAATTTCCTTGCTAATGAAAAATATAAGGGTCAGTGTAATTGATATCCTAATTTTAACGAGAACTTCCTTAAAACATGGCTCAAAGATGTCCACATCACTTTTTCTGTGATGAGGTCATTATTATTAGAGAACTGAAACCTTAATTGGCAACCATAATTGCTAATTTTTAAAAAATATGTTTCTTTTGTATACTTTCTTTTGAGGGGTACCAGGAATCAAAC